GAGATGACACACACACACACACACACACACACACACACACACACACACACACAGACTCTATACAACAAGCTTGAAGACACACAGATTGTTTTACTTGACACTTGATCGGCCCAGAGCACAGACATGATACATCCACACCAATAGCACTGACAGAACATGACCCAGTCTAGAACAAAGAAAGCTCAAACTAACTGAACTGAGAATAAGATTCATCATGTTAAGTGATCCAAGGCATGTATTTTATTTCACTAGTATCACCACCAAAGACACTATTGTAATCAATAGCAAAAAAAAATAAAAATAATAATAATCCCTTTGCTTTGTTCCGAAACCGGGATTAAAATTATTACAATGTTGGTTTTTTTATTCTTGGTGCGGTTCGCTTTCATCATGCGCGAGTAAACTGTTCTCTCATTGGTCAAAGTTTCACGGGTTATTTTCCAGGATTCCACTTAGGCTGCGTTTACACTGCAAGTCTTAATGCACAGATCCTATCTTTTGACCATATCCGATTTTTTGGCACGTCTGTTTACATTCACTTTAGACACGACTGGTATCTGATATCTGTGTTTACATTAATTCATCCGTCAGGATGCAACGACAACAGCTTTGCGGGCTTATTGTTCTTTGTTGTAGCTGTCGTTATATGAATTTATCATTTTGAGCAGGAGTCCAGGATTGATCGGGAAAACATTTTTAAAATGCACCTACGAAGAAGAGCAATTAGACGGCATTATAAAATGAAAAAGTGCGCTTTGATTTTGAATGGCGAAGACGTGCTCACCCCACAGACTTTCACAGGTTCATTTTGAGGTATTAGCAAAACAACAACGCTAATGCTTTTCACGGAACTTACGTAAGTAACGTTACCCATTATACATTGTGATATAGCCTGGTTCGTTGGTCCGTTAGATCGGATTGCTTTCTCACTACAACCGAACCGCTCCAGTGTCCGTTTTCAATCAAGCCGAGACCACCTCGTTCAGGCGATCTCGGACCGATTGTTTTGGCGCGGATCCGAGCGTGATTGCCGTGTTCACATATGCCCAAACGAACCGAGCTAAGGGGGGAACCGCGCCAGGTTCCGAAACAACGGGCCAGGTGTGAAAGCACCAAGACATCTTTTAAATTAATCTAAAATCAAAATCTGTCTTCCAGATTCCACCAAAATAATTTCAGGAGTGCAGCACAAGAAGATGTTTCTTCTGTTTGGACCATCTGCTATTGAACTCCAGCCATGTGTGAAGTCATCTTAATGTGAATAATCATCAATTCATCTACAAATACAAAAAAAGCACTCTAATCTCCATATACTCACCGGTACAACAATTGCCATGGTAACCAACTCTGAACGTACAAGGGATGCTGCAGAATTATGTGTAAAATTCCTTGACCGAGCATTCATCCCTTATACCTGCTGTCTTCCCAGGTGCCACATGATGTGACCAATCACAGGGTTCCTGCGGTCCAGTTACTCCCTCTGAACCTCTCCGCCACTGCTTTAAACTGGATACAACAATGGGCAGAGGGTGTCTCGCGTTTCGGGACCTCGGCAGCAGTGACATGCAGTTAATTATCACGCTACCTTTTGTCTCTGGTGGGTAAATTTAGAATCCCGTAGGAGAGAACAAAGGAGCATTCTAAGAACAATGCATGCTATGAATTGGTTGACGTGCTCCTGGGAGAAAAGCTTTGTGTCGCCTACAAACATAAATTAAAGCAGTTCATGCTTTACTGACAATGACGCTACTATACCATGACAGCGGGTCATGGGTTACGTGTGTGTTTATTAGTGTTTAGCTCATAGATGGGTATTTGAATGAAAGAGAATTTGATAAAAACATGAAAATGATTAGGGGTTGATAAATGAATGGCGTTCATATTTGGGACACAAATAAATGTATGTATAGTAGCATCTTTCATATAAATGCAGTTCAAAAAGCTTCCTATGTCAAAGTAGGAAAGCTTTAAAAAAGAACACGACAAAAATATTAACTACAAACTTTAGGGTTGCCAGAAAGTCTGAAGTAGTTTTAAAAGCTTGAATTTGAAAGTTTTTCAGTTTGAAATAGTTCAGTTTTAATTTACTAGTTTTTAATAGATAGATTAAAAACCTTTTAAATAGATAGAGTTTGAATGAGTCTCAGTAGCTTAGAAATAGTATTATAGAGCTTTTTCAAGCCAGCTTAATAATAATAATAAAATCAATAAATCACTTTACTTTCAGAAATTGAAACAGAAAATAAAAATGGAATACAGTGGCATAAAGCAGGCCTATATTAATCAGAAACTAAAAGATCTACAGAAGTTTTTTTTTGTTTTTGTTTTTAAATGTGAATATTCTGAGCTTGTCTAATTTGAATTGCCTTTTTTATTTTTAGGAATGAATGGCTTTTGGAAAAATAGGTTCACCAGCTTACAGCGTGATACTTTGCATGAAGTAAGTAAGTAAGGAAATAAATAAAAGAATTAAAACTACTTATTAGTAGATTAGGTTCACATTTTGACAGATGATTAAAAAAGCAAATAAACGGAAAAGCAAACAAACAAATAAATAGAAGTATGATATTTTGATGATTTTTTTTTTTTTTTTACGTTGTATCGTGTAAATAAATAAATGAAAAGATTTAATACAATGATTTGGATCACATTTGAACAGACAGTCAAAAATGCATTAGTATTAGTGCATTCAGTACTTTAAAACCCAGTAAAAGAACCTTAAAATTAATCCTACTTACATGGTAACCATTTTAAATGAACTAAAACAGTAATGTGAACTCGGAAGTAATGAATCAATTTCTTAGCATCCACCAGTGAAAATGAGAAGCGACGTCTTAGACACAGTATTAGCAAGACATAAAACTCAGTTCATTATCTAAAATGACACCATCACATCTGTGCTGTCATACGTTTGCAGGCACACTTGGACAGCCACAGCTTTTTTGCCTTGTTTAACTGTCAGTAGTTTCGTGAAAACCAATCATCGCCTTCAAAAACCTCCAGACAGGCCTTACCAGCTTTACCAACAGGTCACACAAAAACCAGAAGCAACTTTCAAGTAATCAAACAAACGTTTGGCTAGATCTGCAACCTTCAAAATGTGTGAGTGAAAAGTATTGTTGAATTAGGCCTATGCAGGAATGATCATGATAATATTTCCAACCCTACCATAATCTTAAATAAATTCAATAGATAGATAAAAAAAGTTTGGAATAGATAATATTTTATATTTTGGTGTTACTTTTGACATTATTTGATCATGCAATATGGAGCAGAGCTCTCTGAACTCTCCTTCTCTCTTTATCTTCTCCCAAGCTGTAAATTTGTATGGTTCAGTGTCATATATGGAGCTGTAATAAATCTCTTAGTAACCACTCACTGCAAATTTCAACAGCCACTAAATGTTCCTCCTGTTTCCTCGCTCCTCCCTTTATTAAGTCACCCTTCATCATAGTCTACAGTACATTGACTATCATCACTGATATTGCCCTACACTCTAAAAAATGCTGGGTTAAAAAGGGACAAACCCAGCGGTTGGGTTCAAAACAACCCACCCGCTTGTCCCTTTTTAACCCAGTGCTGGGTTATATTTAACCCAGCATTTTTTAGAGCGTACCTTACTCTGACTGTCAATACTTGTGTAATTTATAAAACACAAGAACTTCTGATTCCAAATATTAGCCTATTATAATTGGATTTATAATTTGGGTAATTTTAGTACTATTTAAGCTTGCTTTACATACAATATTAGATTAAATATATGTAAGATTTTCTAGTAAATTAATGTATTTTCTGTAAAAACTTGGAAAACGTTAAACATTTACTTAGCGATACTGCCACCTTGAGAGGAAACTGTGATGCCCTAAAAAAAAACTCAACACTGGAAGAGTTAAATAGACATTAATAGTGGGGAAACTCCTTTATTATTATTTGTAATTTTAGATTTTACATGGTGCTGTGATGGTAAAAGGCAAAAACTAGGTTATAAAATATTTTAGATTATTCATACTACTTAATTTTTTTTAAAACAAAATCTGAGTAGAACAGTGACCAAACTAACTTTAATTAATCAATCACTGTTTTATACTTATGTTAATTTCCTATAACATCTATACTCAGTTCTGTATGTTTTATTATTATTATTTGTTTTATATTTCTGTTTGTTTGTTTGTTCAACTGATGTGGCTCGTGGACGTAAGTGTGTGTTGCGGGGGTGAAGTAAACCTCAGAAATAAACAATCATATTTAAAAGGCATTCAATCTCATTTATATTCCACATTACATCAATATCAAGTACAGGAAATTATAAATCTAATTATAAAACTGCCCTGCTATTTAAAAACATCCAGTATGGGAAACCAGCAGCGCTTTTTTTTTCTTTTTTAGTCAAAGGCGGGTTATCTGCGTTTTACACTCTAAAAAATGCTGGGTTAAATACAACCCAGTGCTGGGTAAAATAGGGACAAACCCAGCAATTGGGTTGTTTTGACCCAGCAGTTGGGTTAAATCCCAGCACTGGGTTGTATTTAACCCAGCATTTTTTTAGAGTGTAAGTTAAATGAGAACCTAAAAAAATCGCACTGATCGAGTCACGTCTCACAGTGCCATAAAACGCTATTGACAGCCTGTTTGAGTCGCGCCCTGTGTGCAAACACAGCGACAGGGTTATGACACCAACAACGCCCACAAGGAGGAAGTAGCCTACACTGAGCAAGTATCGATAGTTTACGTGACGAGTTCACTTTTGGCATCGTCATTTTTTTTAGAAAATAAATCATAAAATGACTTTTTTTGTGTGAATTATAAACTAGAAAAATGACACAAACACAGCATGTACATCTTTTTGCACGCTCTTGCAGTCGGCACGCGCAACAGGTGCTCGGATCAGCAGTGATGCGTCATGAATTATTCATGAGATGCTTAATGAGTAGGCTGGGTATGAAGTTGAACTCTGCTCGGACTCGAAGTCGAAAGTCAGTAGTTGTAGTCCACGAGCGCTGGAGAAAGTCAGTGGGGGTCCCACCTGCGTGCCTACCGTTCTCTATCGCCTTGTGGACACCCCTAAATGAATAATAAAATGTCGCCTTCTGTGTCCCCTCGCTTTTTTTCCGAAAAGGAGGTATCCAAACATTGCACCAAGGATTCGTGCTGGGTGTTGTTAGGGACGCGCGTCTACGATGTGACGGGGTTCCTCCGGATGCACCCGGGCGGAGAGGCGCTCATTCTCCGCCGCTCTGGCAAGGACGTCAGCCGGGAGATCGAAGGACCCCCACACCGGCACTCGGAGAACGCCCGGAGGTGGATGGAGCAGTACTACATTGGTGAACTCGACAGAGACAGCATAGATGAAGATACGGAGGTAAGTCACGAAATAGCAACAGAAAGTCACTCAATTACTCACACGCACTATTTTGAGGAAGTTTAACTCTACGAGATCTTAAGATGTCAATCTTTGGTTCAGGAACTATGTTACTCCACACAAACAGAGCCAGAAAGTGATTTAAGAAAGCAGTTTGGTCCGTCAAGGTTTTAAATAGCTATGTCAGATTCGAAATGGAAATCTAAACCTTTATTTGTGTTGGATCTTTTTAATAAATCTGTGGAGTTCGTTCACGATTCGAACTGAATCGATCCGAATCGATCTCCAGTCACCGTCTCACTGAATCGAGAAATAAAACACTGTAAACATGCTTGCGACTCAAGTGCATGCTCACTTTATACGAATCGGAACTAGTTTTGTAAATCGCATGTTATTAAAACATGAAAACTTTTTTGCTGCGTCTGTGTGACGGAAAATAATTTTAGTATTATGTAGTAAATGGAAATTATATGGTTCTAAAACCCATATAAATTTGGTTGGACGTTTGACATTTGTCACAGATTCAGCTTCGAAACACTTAAATAGATCAATAACGATTTAGGATAACAACAAAAAACAGGTTGTGTTCGAATTGTTTTAAAATGTAGAAGAGAACACACAGTGTAGCCTAGTTTATGTGTGTTTCAATCTGCTTTGCTGTATCGCAACCTATACATTTTGTAATTTAAAATAGCAGAAAGGGACTGTCTACAATGTACAAAACGAAGAGGAAAAACGCTCAATTGTTCCATCCATATTCTTTATTCTTGAAAAAGGGCGATCAAACTGTACACACAAAGCCTTGAAACATACACACATCTCACCTGGTAAATACACCGCAAATGTTACATATTGGAAAGAATAAAAGTAGTGGTAATAGTAATGTTATTAAGAAAAACAAGTTTTACATTTACATTTTACAAATTAAATCCCAAATTCAAATAGTGTGTTCTATTACTAGGTCCTAAAAAACTGCTTTCAGTTGGTTTTACTATCATAAGCGATGCAAAAACAATGATATTGAGATGTGCTAATAAATTTGTATAAAATACATATACTAATTTTTCGAATATAGAACAACATTTTAAGGTTGGATTTATTCACAGAACTATAGCACAAGGCATGCTATTGATATTCAAAGAAATACATAAATTAATTGAAATCAAATTAGTGTTCTAACTCAACTTTAAATGCTGTGTGTTGTTACTGATTCCTAAAAGAAATTTTTTTATGTTTGTTTTATTCACAAAACTATAGCACAAAACGTGTTATTGAAAGCAACAATTGCGAAAAATCTCGCAAAGCCTCATAAAGAGTGCTCATCTGCTTTCCTGTACCTTTTATTAATAAACTGTATACCAGATTTGGTCTTTTTATATCAACGTACTTCATCCATTGGCCTACCTTAAGCGTTTTCTTTATAACGGTTTTCTATGGGGGAGAAAAAGCTTAAAGATGTGGTTGATCAGCTTTTTTCGAAGGCTTGATTGTGTTTATGGGGTGCAGTGTCACATGTTCATGCTTCGATTTAAAGAAAAAAGTGTTTGTTTCACATATTTTACCTTTATTCTACACTGCTGTTTCTGTTCTCGTCAAAACAGTCTGTTGAGTTCCTGGTTCCATGAAGCCCCTCCTTCAGAAATACGCAATGGGCTCAGATTGGTTAGCTGGCCCAGTGTGTTGTGATTCGCTAACCACCTAGTGCACGTTGTCTGGAAATGTCACGGTCCCTTACCATTACGGATAGTTGCATGTTCCCGGGGACAGGGGTTGTGTAAACATCGGGGTTAGTGATGTCACAAACCCGGGAAGAAGATCGTTGTAGTCCCTACCAGCCTTTTTTTGTAGTCCTTAAACAGCGATTTCTTTAAAGGTCCCATGGCATGAAAATTTCACTTTATGAGGTTTTTTAACATTAATATGAGTTCCCCTAGCCTGCCTATGGTCCCCCAGTGGCTAGAAATGGCGGCTTGATTGTGTTTATGGGGTGCAGTGTCACATGTTCATGCTTCGATTTAAAGAAAAAAGTGTTTGTTTCACATATTTTACCTTTATTCTACACTGCTGTTTCTGTTCTCGTCAAATATTTCCTTTGCATTGAACTTTGAGCGTCATAACTTTGCAGACATTGTTTATGCTCTAACAGCAACATTACACACTAACTAAAGTTAAAAAAGTTAAATCATAATCAACAACGTGCATTAGCGCATTGCTTCCATATTCCGGGCTGTTCTGCTTGTCTGTAAATAGAATTCAATTAATAGTAAAATTATTAATAAGGTTATTAATATTAATAGTGTTATTAGTATTAATAATAATACTGAATTTGGTCCTCCAATGTTACCGTTTTATTACATTAAGCCACATTAAGCATTTCAGAATGTCCCAAAATGGTGCCTTGAACTAAGAACTGACTGTATTTCTTTATACTTGAGTCCAAGTTCAAAATAAAAATCTACGTACCACTACATTGTGAATGTATGGAGCTGAATGAACCACTGCACTGGTTTTGCAAGAGAATGCAAATATCTTTGCAAGGGGGCGCAAAAGTTTTGCGAGCGAACGCAAAGTTTCTCGGGAGAGTGCAAAAGTTTTGCGAGAGAACGCAAAACATTTGAAAAATATTTTTTCCACCCACCCATTAAAAACAACATCAGAACATCTTTTTTTCAGTGCCACTGTTACCTTGGGCTTGCTTGGCTGGAGTTTAAAAGATTCTTATATTTAGCTTAGTATATCAGTAAAGGTGCATAATAGCTTATTCAGATTTGTTTCATAATTGATGAACTCTGTAGAGCTACTTACAGCTGAATTAAGCTTGGTAATTGATTAACTTTGCAGTATTATTCAATGTACGTATTTCAAAACTGAACAGAACTGAGCTGAATGATGACACAGTTGTCCTTTATGCTGCTTTATTGTTGAATTAAGCATGTTTCCCAACTGATGAACTTTGCAACATTACACTGTTATTGAACATTAAATTAACATTGAAAGAAATGTATTTACAGTAAATAATGACTCTATTATCTTTTTAGAGCTGCTTTACAGCTGAATTTGCACTTGTTTCATAATTGAAGAAATAAAGGTTACTTGCCTTGTCTTAGGAATTGTAACAAGACAAAAACCACTATCAAAATGTTTTTTATAGAAAGACACTCCCTATGAACCAGTAAGACACCATACGGTGTAAATTATTTTATATAATGGTTTAACTTTTAATAACATCCTTTTTTAAAAACATCCTTTTTTTGCCATAGGAAGAGGCCTACTGCGTCCTTTAGATTCAAGATTATTTTTTAAATTATGAAAAGATTGTATTATACAATAATAGGCTATAATAATAATAATGACATATTTTGTGTACAGTATAACTTATTTAAATGGATTATTCTGTAAGTGAGCAGTGTTTGTGTGTGTGTATTCACCAAATTCCTTTTAATTGAAAAAAATCGATTATCGATTTTTTTGAATAAACGGTTAGCAAAGTCGGTTTTATTATCTCAGTTTTTTTACCTGTGCAGTTTTTTTTTTAATTAATATTTGAAAACCATTCCATAAGAAACGCCTAGTTTATCATTGTGATATTTGTGCGTCGTGTCAGCAGGTAGATATTCCACTGAGGGCTCTTATTAGATAAACAAGCCTTCTGTCCCTGCTTGCCTCTCCTCTGTCTCTCCCCAAGGAAAAAGCGGGGGAAAGGACCAGGTATCTTGCCTTCCAGTTCCAGCTTTATGTATTATTCTAATTTTATTGTTAGTTTTATACATATCTAGTCATATAAACAAAACTGTTCGGTATTGTCAGGCTTTTATTGCCATTATGCCTGTAATAAACATCTTGATATGAGGCATGTACTGACTACAAGCTCAAAGTGCAGAAGAAGGGTGGATATTTCAGAATGTAGAAGGTGTAAATGTGTGTGTGTGTGTGTGTGTGTGTAAGACAATCAAACCGGTCTGTCTTGTCTAAGCATTGGCATATACTCCGGCTTGAACAACAACACAATAGCTGAGCAGAAAAGTTTCCACACCACTTCAGGTTTCATAGAGTACTGTCAGCATTCACATGAAAGGGTGAAGTATCATTATAATGAATTGTCACTTCACACTTCCATATTCGTTTCTGAATGAAATCAAGCTGCACTTATTTGCTGGTATCTTGGACCATTTCAACTATATATGTGTATAAAATAAGGGAGTATTAGAAGTTGCATTGTTATTTGTTGTGAGTTCCAATTCCAATTTTTATCAAGTTATTCATAATAAATTCATGCCAAATTCACTGTATACAATTATTCAGTTCCACATTTAATAGCAGATTACTAAGAAGCGGCATGTTTATTCTACTAATTATAGTACAGCCTTTCAGGTTTTCTACACTAAAAGCCTGTAAATATGCTTGCCGGAAAACATATTAAGGAAAAATGTCAAGGAATTTTAAAATAGTGATTTCCAGGCCTGGAAAAGACATGAAAATGAAAACAATTTTAAGAAAATGTATGTAATTTAAATTTAATTAATGGCAATACTTGGCACTGAATATACAATGTTCTATTTTTGCTAAGAAAAAAAATAGCCCTTTTTTTTTTTCATTTTCAAAATCCTCATGTAGTAATCACTAACGACCAGAAAAGTCATGCAAATTAATTTGTCAAAACGTGTGGGAACTCTGACTTATAATTCTCATGCATTTCTGAACCAAAGGCTTTTAAGAACAGATTACATAATTATTTTTAAACCCTCATTGCTGTAATCATTTAGCTTGTTTGTTGTAAAGCAGGAGTGGGTTTGTATGTGATATAGTGAATGGGTGTGTATTTTTGGGATTGTGTGGATTTGAATCCTTTGGACACATTGCAAATTGTGGTCTACATTGGATGCTGCATTTAACTTTGAGGCTTTGAGTCACCCGTCCTGAAACAAGTCATTTCTCAGCAGCTATGATTGCAGTGTAAACAGTCTGATCCTTGTAGTAGTGTGAGGACTTGAATCCCCACC